CAGCTGGTCGTGCGCGGTTTTGGATGGGTCAAACACACACAGGACTCTGCGTAAAATTCAATGTATGAGACACACTTTTACCATCTGAGAGTGAGCGGCATACTGTACACCAATGTAGGCTATAAGAGAGAAGGATTCTGTGATATTACAGTATTTTACCATAGACTGTATATACTATGGACAACTTGGTTCTGCCTTCTGTCATTATATGAATTTGAAGCCCAATTGCTCTCTGTATTTTCGGGATTTTCTCCAATTTCTGAAACCACCACTTGAACAGTAGCGTTGTACGCATTCGGCGGGAGAGACGCCGAGAGTCGCTGTGATGACGCTCTGCTCAAACAGCGTATCCCCCGGGTGGGCTAACCAATCTTCGTGCACCCATAGGCTGTATCCAGTGTCAATCATAGAAAACATGAACTCCCTAATAACTTTTAAAAACGGAGCTGCACAGAAAAAAAGAGGACTTGAGCACAAACAAGTCTTCTACATGTCAACATCCCAACCAGGGGGGAAGAAAAAAATTATGTTCTGTGTAATTAATTTCTAAAGTTTGTCCACAGCTCCATAACGATTGCTGGAGGAGGCGGGATTTATGACCTATACTGCAGCCCATCACCAGAGGGTGCTGTTCTCGTGGTAGCTTCACCCAGTGAGGAGGGCGTCCGTTATACAGTCTATGTATTTTACCCAGAAGATGGCGCTCTAAGAAGCAAGAGACTGCCTTATTGGGCAAAGCATGCTGGGTAAACCTTAATTAGTGGATAAGAGATTCCAGTGCAGGTCATCTTATGAACGATTATATGAAGCCAGTATCAAATTGTTTGTTTCTTTTAAGAACATTGATTAATTTAACTGTGATAATAACAGCTGTTATTCCATGAACGTTACAGTCAAATATACACACGCTTATGCCAGCCAATTACATGTTTGTGGTCAATTTTGAATCGATGAAATAAGGAAGTGACCTTTTTTATGTCAGAGGCAATATCAAGCTGCATTTTTCTTCACATCAACAGGACATAAACACTTGTCAAAAGATTTAATCTCATGTCATTTAGAGATGAGGAAACAGTTTCTTACTAACAGGGATGTTAGTTTGACTGTACTGAGACTGTACTGGTGAGGCTGCCTGCAGTGTCTGCAGACAGGAGCTTTTTTTGACTTTTTAAACCACCTTATGAGATATCAGCTGACGACCATTATTTCATAATGTCACTGATCCGCCTGATTTAACAGCCCAACTAATCATCCATTTATCTCCAGTCAGATGAATAACAGTTGTCTACAATGAAGTAGAGTGCTTGATTGAGAAAACTCCTCAATTTAAGACAAGCAGCCAGGACAACTCAAGTATGGGGGAAGCAATGATGTATTGTCAAAATATAATCAGCTTTTTCTTACTTTTGATTGAGCCGTAACACTTTAAAAAAAATCTTGGAACAGTTGTGCTCTTGGCCAAAACTTTGTCTTCTAACTTTGTCGGTGAGGTTTTGTTGGCTTCACCAGACCGGCCAAGCATGCAAGTCCTGCAAACACCTGGTAGAGCAGTTTCCTCAAGGCTTTTGTGTTTATAAGCACAAACTAAAGTGATAAAGTATCATGTGCAAGCTGATCCAGAGAAAGTTATATTCATGTCCAGCCACGTGGTTTTACATTTTCCTGAAGTTTTTGATTAACTGCAGAAAAACTGAGCAGACTGAGAGGAACAGTGAGGCAGCCTACTGCCCACTGTATTTTTATGCTTAGTTTCTTACACCCGGATTTGAAAAAGGTCCAAATATGTGGCACTGAATTACTCACTGGAGTGTTACTAAAAAGTAACACCGAAGAAAAAGCTGGTCCTGGTTTCCTGGCTTTTATTTTCCCTCTTGCAGAGAAAGACGTCATGCTTTTGCACCTGTTGCAGGTCTTTCTTAAGCACTGTCAGACTTTTTCTGTCTGTGTCCATCACTTGGACTCTATGAATCTAATTAAAGAAAACATTATGCTCTTTTAAGTAGCAATACTATGTCTAACAACCGGTTGGGTTTTAAAGTTTTATTAACTTCAAATGGCACGCTTCTCTGCAGACACAAATAAATAACAATAATTTGTACCAAACTGGCACTTAAACCGTTTTAATCCCCTCAGTTAATATCAAGGTGGTCCCCTGTCAGTGGTCATTAGAGAGAAACAGGAACACTAACATCATAAATATCAATTACATCATAAAAATCCATTTGTATTTATCTTTTATAGCTGTAAAAGCTCCTATCTGTGGCTGAAATTAGCTCCGTACTATTACTCTGCATACAATTAATTTAAGCCAGTGGGATCCGTGTCAGCCTGTTCAATAGAGCCTGCAAACAGTTTTGTGTGGCGTCTTATACATATATGGTGATGTGCATGTGGGAGTACAACCCTCAGTGCTATGTATTGTTGGAAATTTGCATGCTTAAGTCCATATGGCAACTTCCTTTTGACCTGCTTTCCCATCCCTGATGCATTGTCAGGGCTGTCAGCCGATAAAGAATCACTTGACTTGCTATAACAAGTTCAAAAGGAGCTGATGACGCGCTGTTGATCCATGGAGAATCGGCAAAAGGAACACCCCTACTGCTTGCTGCTATCACTCCCATAGAGATAGCCATATTATTGATGGGGAATGGTTATGCTAATTTCTTTAGGGGAGGAAAACTTATTTTTTATTTTGGAAAACGCTCCAAAAAGGAGGCAGGGGAAAAGAAAAGAATTTCATAGGCATCAGAGTGAATTCCATATAACCATTTAAAGGAGCAGCATGAGAATCTGATTTTCATAGTGCATAATGAGTCTCTCTTAAAGACGGAGATGTGTTTTGTCTGGGAAGGGGAAGAAAGCAGATATTTAGGCTATCTATTAATGTCTCGCAGAACACACACACACACACACACACACACACACACACAGTCTCACACACACACACAGAATCATAGTGTGAACATATATAAAACTGATCTTTAATAAACATAAAAAAAACTGAAAAAAAGATGGAAATGTCAGACTAGCTCTTGTCTTAAAAAGCCTGCGAGAAATGATGACGTTTTGTGTGTAAAAAGGTAAAATAAAATCTTTTTTTACCCTCTGATTTGCAGTTTTGAAAGATTTTTAAGAAGCAGTAATTCACCCCCAAATCTGAGTGAAAACATGAATCGTAATGTGCTGTAAGGTGTGGATTATTTTCACCCACAGATGGAGCGTCATGTGCTCTGTGTCAGACTGACCATGTACATGTGTATCTGCCTCTCTCTCTGACACATACAGCATGGCACAACCGGCGTGGAGGGGTGAGGGAGGGGGGGAGGAGGGCGAGGGCTAGTGTGTGTGACTGTGTGTGTTGTTTTGGAGGGGAGGGGTGGGGGTAAGGGGGTGTTATGACCCCGAGATATTCCATTGTGGGTCCATGTCCGGTTCTGAGGACATTTGATAGCATCTCAGTCAGAGGCATTAATGTGTCTCTCGGTTCGACATTTTGAATAATCGGTGCTGTCTGCTGTCATGCTGCCACTAGCTGTCAGCAGCACCGTCTGTCTGTCTGTCTGTCTGCCTGCCTGCCTTATCACACTCTTCTACTCATGCACTTATATTATAGAAAACAAGCTGTCCATGCAAGAGAGCACTTGATACTTTTTTATTATTACCAAACCGTTCCCATAATTACCCCATAATCATTATATAATCCTATAACAAAGCCTCTATTGAAGCCCTGTCTTTTGTCAACGCTGGGACACTGAATCTATAATTGCATTATTCAGTCTCTTCCACCCCCCTATAGAAGCATAATATATCAAAACCATCCTGCAAGGAAGGTCTTAGTCGTAAGGAAGGGTTCAGCTAATGCCGGACGTTTTTATTGTCGTCTGTGGGGTTTTTTTAGGGGTTGCAAAAAAGTTGTGCCAACTTAAAGTTTAGAGCTCCTGCGTAAAAAATATGAAAGAGAAAAAAAGTATTTGCTTCTTTACCAGAGTGGGCGCTTTAAAATATCTTCAGAGAGGTGTAGAAATGCATTCATTCACAAAGTGGAGCAGTCGCATTATTGATATATCACATTCTCAAATAATTATGTTCATTCCCTTTTGCGCTCCCAGGCAGTAAGAACAAATCGTCAATACATTGAGAAAAAAAGGCAAATGCGAGTCCCTGAGGAGCGCTTCTGCGTTTGTATGCACGGGGATTGGCAACACAACGGGGCTTATTTACATTAAATACGCCACAAGGTTACAGTGCAGATAGATGAGCGTCATTTTTATCACTCATTACTTCTCTTAAGCGGTGACTGACGCTCAGGACGCACAGGAGGCAACACTCATTTATCCTGGAGTTTTTTAAGGCGAAGAGGAGAGGAAAAAGACTCCAAACAGTTGCATTGAAAGGTAAGGAATTCTACTTTTTGGTGTTATTTAGTGACCTGGGTGTCCTTACACGGAGGGGTTTGTTATCAAAGCCAATTTTGAACGCACAGTGGCTGAGCGGCGAGGCTGGCTGTGTGTGAATGGTTCTGTACAGGGGGCAGATTTTAAATAAAAGAGTGTTTGTGGGCAGTTCAAGGTCAGAAACAAACTAAGGTGGTCAGGAATCGGCTTTTTCTCCCGCCTCAGTACCAGGGGAAATGTTCCGATGAGGGGATTATTTCTTTAATCGAGGTTGTGTTTCACCGCTGGGCTCACCAGCTGCTTTTTATCCCGGCGAATACCGCTAGACCCGGGCTGTATCCGACCAGTCGGCTCTGCTTTTTACAATGGAGTGCCTTTTTTAACGGTACAATGCATTTCACCTACCAGATAGGGGGAGTCCAAGCTGAAAGATGAAGGGAATATGCTGATGCTTGGCGATCGGCATCAATGCAAACGCTAACCTTTAGCGGACAAGCGACAGAGAGGGACAGAGGAGCAAGAGGAGACAAGTCAGAAAGCCGTATTTTTCATTTCTAACTCGGTGTGCGCGGCGGGGAGCATGGAGGAGTAGACTGTCTTTAACAGGTCCGAAGCGCACTTTTCAACACCCCCGTCATCCGACAAGAATATGATCCGGTCAAATCATATGGACATGCCTCATTATTCAATGAACACTGTCTCTCACAACGCAGCCTTTACGCGCAGGAGTTAGCCGGCGCTTCGCCAAATTTCAAAGGTAAGAAGAAGTGTGGAGCTTATAGTAACACGAGTGTGGTTTTACTGGAGTGTATTACTCGCTGGGAAGTGAGTTTTTGGGGAGGAATGGGGTTGTGTGTGCGGTTGCATCGCTGCGGGGGCCCCCCGATGTCTCCCCAATCATGATTAGAAAATAACAGTGCAATTATCCGTAGCGAGTGACGATGGAAAAAAAATCAGGAAGAAAATAGCAGCAGAGACTAAGGCACTGGCTGCGATGCTCGACACCTTGCTCCTTAGTGCGTTAAAAAAAACCTCCTCAAATTCCGACAGAAAATTCTTTATTTCAAGTTTTGTTTACCGTTGCATGTTTGACTCTACAAAGCGTATGCGTAAAAGGCGTGTGGGCGCACAGTTTTGTAATATTGCGCATTAGCAAATCAGCTTAACAGTTGGGGACTTTTGAAAAGTCCAGCCGTGCTCCCGTTTGGAGTTCACACGGAAACTTTCTACCGAAACCGGCTGTTGTGTTTGAAGAGTACTACGGGAGGGAGGCACAAGTTTACCGGCGCGTTTGCCACCATGTGTCAAAACTTGTGAGATGGAAGAAGAGCCGGTGAGACCTGCCATTTTGTGCAGTGATCGACCTCTCTTATGAATAAGCAGCCCCTGCATTATGCTTTGAGGAGACGTTACGATGGCATTCAGGCGAGGGGGGTAAATGTCATACGTGGAGAAATTGATATTTCTGGTAAATGGTGTCATTTTGTGATTCGGAGGGAATGTGAGATTTTTCCAGTCGAAAGAAGGAGAAAAGTTACGGCGAGTCGGTAAATAGACAGCCGTTACTGTGGAAATATAAAATGACGGAGCCCATTAGCCCATCATATTTTTCTGGGGGATGGAAGAAGTCGGGTGTGTGATATGTCACTGCACTCGTACCTCACGAGTTTCCGCGTTGTCTTCCTTTAATTTACAACAGTGTGTTTAAATTTGGGACATCAAATATCCAGCAGGTTGAGCGCGTTTATTGCGCTAAAATAAATCAGAAAAGCGGTTGCCGAATTCTCTCACTGTAGCTGGCAGGTCCTAATTTGTGCTCAGCCTATATGATATGAAATTACCAGTAATATATGGGGCAAAGGCTGAGGCTCCTAATCCCCCGTCTCACTGTGCGTTTTGGGTGTGGAGGACCTTTTTCTTGGAAGTGGAGTTGACCCCTGAGTGATCTGACCTGAGTTATCAAGCCACTTCCAACAGCTCCCAGCGCAGCACAATAGCTGTGAGGACACATGTCATCCTTCTTAAAATACTCAACAATGTCTATCATGTTGTTTGCCACTGTTTCTCTAACCTTCCTCAAGTTGTCTTGAGCCAAAAAAGGAGGAAAAAAGAGCAACAATGATGCCTCTTCCTCAGATTCATTGTGCGGGGAAAAAGGGATAAATAGATGATCTGTGCGAGTTGAGATGCTGTGGTTGTTTAATGGTATGCACACAGGGCGGATATTATGTCTGAAATAGTGTCTGGGCGTAAACCCCTTTTGTCAGCTCCTTAAATTCCCTTTTTACAGATGAGACTGCTGTCCCCACAGCTCTGACAGTTCAGGCTCCTCGCAGACCTGTTTGCCCTGAGCTGCTCCTCTCTGCGCTGCTCCAAGTTGAAATGTTGTCATTCTTTTTGGGTGAAAATATTTGGGCAGAGACACGGTGTTTGAGAAAAAAGGCCTCGCTCTACATACTGGCCTGTTTAAGAATTATACGTGTGGAATTATTTTTAAAGGCCTCTGGTTTGTTTGAGCAATTCATTTATTATTCATCAGGCCTACTTTAAGTTTTGCATTCATCTTATCAGGTTGCATTTCAATATTACATACTCCTCAGTCTGATGAATTATCAAATTAATTATCAGCAGTGGAAAAGGGTCGAGAATTATCTTCATAAAATATGCAGGCTTTATTTATCTTTACCTTGTGTAAAGTCAACAGATAATATCAGGATGTTGATGTTTTTCTTTTTATTGTCAGAGTTAGTGTACGATTTAGAGGAGCAAAAAAAGAAGAAAAAGAGGACACACACACAGATTCAGCAGCGGTGTTGTCTTGTGCGGCAACTTTCTGACCGACGGAGCTCAAAATGTGTTCCTCTGAGGCAGACTGTTGCATCGCCGTAGATCTTGTATGAGTTGCTTTCCCACCTGTGCCTGTGTCAGCGCTGCTGAGGGGGCTGCAGGCCGTGACTGACTGTGGCGGTACACGTTCCCCAGCTCCAAACAAGGCAGGAAGGAGTGATGGGAGAGACAGAGAGAGAGAGAGGGAGCATGGCATGCAAAGGATGGCATCAAATCAGTCCTCTTTTCACCAGGCTGTCAGTCAGTCAGTCAGTCAGCTCACCGTGGAGGAGACCCACTCGACTGAAGCCGCCGCGTTGTCAGTTCGACACACGGTGAATTATTTGTGCACTGACATGTACACAATCAGATTTTGTTTTAAGAAAGCAAAGAAGGAAGAGAAGGAAAATTCACACACTTGTTAAACAAATAAGGAGGCAGCACAAGAGCAGTTCACCGTCTCTCAAAAACCCACAGTGAAGTGGCGTGAAAAAACGACAAAACCTCCAAGAACAAAAAACACAACTGTGCTATCAAGACGGAAAAACACCAAACTCAACTTCTCCCGCACAATAATGGGTGATATATGTGTCTGAAGCACAGAGCAGTCTCCTCACAGCGCAGCCTCACTGTGGCGAGTTGATCACCTCCTGGTGTAATTATATAGAGGAGGGCTCCAGCTGTACAGGCTGCAGGGCCAGGGTTCCCAGTCCGCTGGGATCAGGGCGGTGGTGGGCAGGCCAGATCAGGCCAGCTCTGCTCATCAGCCATCCATTAATTGATATGTGCAGTCATTGTGAAACCACCTCCCCCCCACACTCCCCCCATGGTGTTACCTACTGGGGGGAGGCTGGGGATACTGGCTGTGTCATTTCTTCATTTCCATTCTGCTTCTGATCTGCTCTCTGGTCTCCACACGGGCAACAGGGCAAAGCGGCAGTGGACATGCATTCTCCCTCTGTGTGTGTGTGTGTGTGTGTGTGTGTGTGTGTGTGTAAGAGGGGTGTTGAAGGGGCTGTAACACCCAGGTGTTGGTCTGGGTCGAGCCTTGTAGCTTCATGACCTTGATCTCCAGGGTTCAAGCCAGGGTTGGGAAGATGCTGGTGAGCCGGGAGTTTGAGTTGCGGCACGAGGATAATATGACTAGTTCAAACACACACACACACACACACACACACACACACACTGAATCGACAGCACTGAATCAAATGTGAGATGCGACTTTAAGATAAAATTTGACTAAAAAAAACACGTGCTGAAAATTTACGGAAATCTTGGAGCAGGAGATGTTGATCAGGTTTGATTTTCGATCTTTGGAGACGTTTGATTGGATGTTTTTTTTTCCCTGTTTCTCCAAGCCCACGGGGTGCAGTGTTGAACTTTTATAAGGATCTGCAATTATAATTCATTCTGCTGGTGATAAATTGAAGGGGACGTGAATTGATGAATGACCTCAAAGTTTTATGAAGTTAGTGGCGCTGACCTTTGCACATTATTCTCTCTTTTTAGGATCTCATCTGCAGAAATGAATTTGTAAGAGATGACAATTATTTCCTCACCCGTTATGCGAAGCCCTTTTTGTCATTAAGCCTGACACGTTCTTGTTATTACAGCTATTTTTAACATGTTGCTTTTGTTCAAATTGGAGAACAACTGACAGTAAAAAAGCTGCTTTTCTGAATCGGTTATTGAAATGTTAAAAAAGCAACAGGAAATATGGAAGAAACCATTAGGCAGGAATGAATATGCTATCAATTAAAATCTAGCCGTATGGATGATCAGCTTCACTCAGTCATTGTTGAAATGAGTTTATGTTCAGTTTCCTGTTGTGTGCGTGCGAGCTGTATTGTGCTGTGTGAATGCCTCTTTCATAGTTGGATTGTATATTTCCCCGGTATGTTCTTTCCTCTGCGAGCTTGATAAGGGTTGTGATTGTGAGGAGGGGGGTAAAAGGGTTGAAGTATGGGAAAGGGGGGTAATCACGGACGTCATTTTGATCTAAGAATAAAGCGTGTAGGGCAGATGAGGTGCTGACATAAAGGCTTGACTCAGTCCTTTCATGCCGGGGTGCCATCGCAAGGAGCGTCTGCCTGTCTGGGCAGCTGGGGTAGGGGTGGGGGGGTGAGGGCGGCTGAGGTATGGATGTAAGATAGGAAAAAGAGGAGATGTCAGCGGGAGAGGCGAGCACGGAGCTGGGCTCTATCTTTTAAAAACTTTGCTTGCCTGGGAGTGTCTTCTTACAGGTCGGCGTTTGAGGACGATTACAACTTTGCAATAGTGTGCACATCAGATTTTGAGATTGCGAGGGTTATTCTAGCCTTGAGACAGTCCAGTGTCCGTCCTTGCTCTTCCTCTCTCTCTCTCTTTTTGTAATCAGTTGGCGCTCACATAACACCAACAAGGAATGTGTCCTGAAAAAATGTAAAACACCTTATCCTCACAACCCGTGATATTCCTCCTTTGTTTGCCCGGCCTCCCCGCTGAGCCGCCTTGGCATTAAGGCATTATTGAGTTTGGCTTCACTTTGATATTTTTTTTTCTCCCCCCTTGAAGTTCGTTAGCATTTCGGATTTAAGGATGCGTCATGCGATGTCAGGACTGTTTCCCTTTTTGACGTGTTGAACAGCTCTACGTTTTCTGCTGTGTCATTTCTGTAGACAACAGCTTAACACAAACGGGCAAGCAGGCATCAATCAGAGGTCCTGAAGCAGAGAATTGTTGCTGCTTAACATGCAGCCACGCTCAGCTAAGACTGTGGTAAATACCTCCACTGTTGGTGTGTGTGTGCGTGTGTGTGTGTGTGTGTGTGAGAGAGAGTGAGAGGCAGGTTATGTCTGTTAACCACTTCACACACCAGCAGCACTGACTGCATCCTGTATATCATGGCTGCTCTTTAACCAGTCCACCTCTCCAGTGTGACCTCTGTAAACT